GTGTTAGGAATTGATAGGTAATCGGGAACCACAAACGTTGTCACAGGGGTTTGCTACGCTATCGGATTGAATAACAAACTTTTGTTTTCAAACAAAAGCAATGGTCATATGAATTGCATCACTTCCACGCATGCATGCACACCTAACGACATTGCAGAGATAAACCACAGAGGGAAAGTGGATCTGCTTTTTGATTACAATCAATGACAACGGGATCTTTGGAACTTGAACAGACGGTCCACGTGAAATCCCAACTAACTTAAACTGCAACCGGATAACTGCGCAGCTGTCTATTGCCCCCAAAATCTGCAACTGTTCATGCGGATTTTCTCTAACGGGGAACAACCAAAAAGAGACGAGGAAGATCAGCTTACAAATCTCTGCCTCCCTGATTTCTTCCTGATGAATGTCACCCCCTTTCAGTCAGTCGAATTCTTTTCTTCTTTTTTAAATTCTGCTATGTTCTTCTATCCTCTAACGAAACAAAATAAAAATAAAAAAGGCTCGTAAGAGTTTTCCCTTATTTTTCAAAGTAATATTTACATTGATGGCATATTTTAAATTAATAACGCTAAATTAATAAATTTCTTCACTTTTAGGACCAATCTTTTACCGAATAAGAATCAATCTCATTATCTAGCTGATAACCTACTTGAGACTGGTGACGAAAAGACAAATATTTAATCGATTTTACAAAGCGGGAGAGTAATAAAACTCGCTTAGACCCAATTAAACAAATCTTCTTTTAACACATCAGGAGCAAATGATGTTTGGAGTTTATCGAAAAATCAATGCACCATGTGTTGTTTTTATTGTGAATGTTATACTGTTAATAAAACAGCGATGTCGGTAGAGAATTATATTCGACGAACTTTCGGTTACCGTGGGTAACCTTTTCTAACCTTTCTAGACTGTCACCTCAGAGCGAACGACTCACGGAAGTTTACCACCAGCGTTCACAGAAAACCGACACATTCGGATAAACTTTTACATTTTGAATCAGCTCATCCACAATATGTGAATCGGACGCTTATCTCCTCTCTGGCTGACAGAGTCAAAAAGCTCTGTAATGAAGAAAATAACCGTCAAATAGAAATGAAACGCCTTAAAAACTGCTAGAAGACAATGGTTATCCTGGTAAGATTCCAGCTAGAGGCGAATAAGTCAATACTACAACCTAATGACAAGAAAGACCGTGTAGCCTCTGTTGGTATTCAATATAGATCAGGCACTTCAGAAGCAATCAGAAAGATTCTCAGCGAGTGCAACATATACATATTCTTTCGGGTCGACAACACTCAGGAACGCCATCTCGTAAAAGCCAAAAATCCGGTAGAATTGCAAGATTAAAACAACTGCAATTACAAAATCTGTAGTAAATTGGTCGAAATTGAAGCTAACGCAACAGGATAGCGGGCTGATCGGTGTGGTTTATCGCACTCCCTCGTCATGAGATTCATCAAATGAAACTTTATTGGAAACAATGTCTTACTTCTTGTCATTGAAATTCACCCACGTTCTCATAATGGGTGACTTCAACTGTCCAAAGCTGAGCAATGTGACTACATCGTGTACACCATTTGAACGTCATCTGAAGCAGTTCATCCAGTCACATCCGTTGTACAATCATGTGATGGAACCCAGGTTTGGAACCAACCAAATTTCGTCAACTTTGGATCTAGTACTGACAAATGAAGAATTGATGGTCGAATCAATTGCAATCGCAACTCCGTTGGGGCGCAGTGATTACGCTGTATTATTGTTCGAATATGTTTGCTATGCATCAGTAGCGACAGTTTCTTCGGATCGCTTTCGTATCATAACTGACTATGTGAGACTAAACACCCTGGCTCATGAAATCCAGTGGATCTCCCCTGATGTAGGCTGCAATCCTCTGGAATCCTGGAGAAAATTTACTAAAAGCATCACGACATTGGTGGCTGCTGTTACAACCGTCAAGCGTCTACGCCGACCGACTGTTCGAAAAACAGCAAT